AAACACATAACATAATTTTCCTCTCTACCTCTCTATTCTATTGATTTACCGTATATACTCGTGTATAAGTCGATCTCATGTATAAGTCGAGTGCAGTTTTGTGACCAACAATTGTGAAATATGCTATGCCTCGTGGATAAGTTGAGGGTAAAACTTGGGGCTATGAAATTCTGTGATTTTTATAATTATATACACACACACTCATACAAACACACACTCTGCATTAAACACACACACTTATACAAACACACACTCTGCATTATATACACACACATACACACACACACACACTCATACAAACACACACTCTGCATTATATACACACACACACTCATACAAACACACACTCTGCATTATATACACACACACACTCATACAAACACACACTCTGCATTATATACACACACTCTGTGTATATAATGCAGAGTGTGTATATAATGCAGAGTGTGTGTTTGTGTAGTGTGTGTACTGGGTGGGGGGAGGGCATTTTTATTATTTAATTTTTTTTTTTTATATATATATATTTTTTTATTATTTAAAAAAAAAATTGTCCCCCCTCCCTGCTTGTTAACTGGTCAGGGAGGGGGGCTATCTTAATCCCTGGTGGTCCAGTGGCATGGGCTGTGAAGTGGGGGGGCCGGCAGGAAGCATTTACTTAGCTTTCCTGCAGCTCCTGTCAGCTCCCTTCTCCTCTGTTCCGGTCAGCTCCACTGTAAGTCTCGCGGTCTGGTTGTCGCGGGATCGTTGCCATGGCTCTGACGGCCGCGGCTCTCTAAGTTGCCATAATACAGACAGTGACTCGAGTATAAGTCGAGTGGGGGTTTTTAAGCACAAAAAATGTGCTGAAAAACTAGACTTATACTCGAGTATATACTGTAATCTTTCTTCCTAGGTGTAAATTATGACACAATATAAATATTATAGGATTTTACACTTTATATCTGGGACGAGAAGAGGAAAGAGAGGAAAACAAAAAAAAAGGTAAAAAATATACATTAATTCCATAACTTATAATTATTATTATGTGATGTCACTGGTGTCTCAGATCATAGTGTGCTCCGATTATTCTGGTTTTAGAGGTTTCTGGAGTATTTGCAATTATATTAGATATTGTTTCGCAGGGAAGGAAGTTTTAATTTACCTTATATTACAGACCATTTTGACCAAATCTTATCAAATACAGCTCTTGGCAAAGCATCTTTATTATATAAGTATTTCTCTGCAGATGCCTGAAATTTTATTTGAGTTTCAATCTCAAGCCATAATGGAAACATAGAAACATAGAATGTGACGGCAGATAAGAACCATTCGGCCCATCTAGTCTGCCCAATTTTCTAAATACTTTCATTAGTCCCTGGCCTTATCGTATAGTTAGCCTTATGCCTATCCCATGCATGCTTAAACTCCTTAACTGTGTTAACCTCTACCACTTCAGCTGGAAGGCTATTCCATGCATCCACTACCCTCTCAGTAAAGTAATACTTCCTGATATTTTTAAACCTTTGCCCCTCTAATTTAAGACTATGTCCTTTTGTTGTGGTAGTTTTTCTTCTTTTAAATATGGTCTCCTCCTTTACTGTGTTGATTCCCTTCATGTATTTAAATGTTTCTATCATATCCCCCCTGTCTCGTCTTTCCTCCAAGCTATACATGTTGAGATCCTTAATTTACCTTATATTACAGACCATTTTGACCAAATCTTATCAAATACAGCTCTTGGCAAAGCATCTTTATTATATAAGTATTTCTCTGCAGATGCCTGAAATTTTATTTGAGTTTCAATCTCAAGCCATAATGGAAACATAGAAACATAGAATGTGACGGCAGATAAGAACCATTCGGCCCATCTAGTCTGCCCAATTTTCTAAATACTTTCATTAGTCCCTGGCCTTATCGTATAGTTAGCCTTATGCCTATCCCATGCATGCTTAAACTCCTTAACTGTGTTAACCTCTACCACTTCAGCTGGAAGGCTATTCCATGCATCCACTACCCTCTCAGTAAAGTAATACTTCCTGATATTTTTAAACCTTTGCCCCTCTAATTTAAGACTATGTCCTTTTGTTGTGGTAGTTTTTCTTCTTTTAAATATGGTCTCCTCCTTTACTGTGTTGATTCCCTTCATGTATTTAAATGTTTCTATCATATCCCCCCTGTCTCGTCTTTCCTCCAAGCTATACATGTTGAGATCCTTTAACCTTTCCTGGTAAGTTTTATCCCGCAATCCATGAACCAGTTTAGTAGCCCTTCTCTGAACTCCCTCTAAGGTATCAATATCCTTCTGAAGATACGGTCTCCAGTATTACTAAATCTGTAATATATAGGGATAAAAGTTCGATAGGAATATGTTTAGTAAAGATATTATTACAGTTATATCTCTTTCTAATTTTATGAGTTGCTGATATAATGTTCTTTATTAAATGACCCTCAATTTGCATTTTTTTAAATAGATTAGGTGAGGACCAGAAGAATAAGTATGGCTCTCAAATTCCTATTCTAAATTTTTCAATATTGTACCAGCCTAAATTAGTCTCCTTCCTTCTCTTCCAGGCTAACATATGCAAGAGTTGGAATGAGTCATAATAATGATATATATATATCCGGATATCCCAAACCATCTTGTAAACTACTTCTCTTAAGGATTCTACTGGGAATCTTAGATTTTTTGGATGCCCAGACAAACCTTGAAAATATCAGATAAATTTTTTTTAGAATAGAATTTGAAACTTGATATGGTATAGTTCTAAACAAATAAAGGCGTTTTGGGAGTACATATGATTTCAAAACCCCAAGCCGCCCCAACCCTGAGATTTCCAATCTCTTCCATTGAGTCAATAATATATCAATTTCCCCCCACAGGGTTTCATGATTCACTGTGATAGTTTCTAATATCTTAGGCCTGATCACAATCCCTAAAAAATCTATGGATTTTTGATAATTATCAAATTAACCAAAATCACCAATATCCTGCTTTTCATTATCGGTCAAATAGAATGTCAATATTTGAGTTTTAGAGAGATTTAATTTGTAATTAGATAGTGTGGAGAATAAATCTATTGCATCCAGAAGGGCTGGTATTGAGGATTCTGGGGCAGAGAGAGAGAGAAGATCATCCGCATATAACGTGATGGCATGCCTTTTGATAGCCAATCTTTATACTCCTAATTTCATTATTTTTTCGTATATAGGCAGCCAACCCTGCTGAGTGCCATTTTGAATGTTAAACGCGCTAGAATCAATATATGGACCTCTGATGTTCGCGGTTAGATTAATATATATAGCCCTAACTTGCTCTAAGAACATACCATCTATACCAAACACCCACAGAGTCTCAAACATAAACCTCCAATTTACTCTATCAAATGCCTTTTCAGCATCAAGAGCCATTAAAATAGAGGGAGTTTGTTTAAGATGGATCTCCTCTAGAATGTTGAAGACTCTGCGGGTGTTCTCCTCTCCCGATCTACCGGGCATGAATCCAGCCTGGTCAGGATCGATAAGGTCATGAATCACTCATCTAAGTCTTTGGGCTAAAATCTTAGAAAAAAGCTTTATGTCCAAATTAATGAGTGAAATAGGCCTATAGTTGGTAACTTGTGTTGGATCCTTCCCTGGTTTTAAGATAGGAGAGATACTGGACTCTATCATTTCTAAAGGGAAACCAGTATTTCCCCTTACTGAATTAAACATTCTACTAAAAAGAGGGTTAATAACTGGATCCAGAATTTGAAAAAATAAAGCGGAGAAACCATCCGGACCCGGAGCCTTCCCCTTTTTCATTTCCTTTATTGCTGATGAAATTTCTGATGTTGTAAAAGGATAATTGAAGCTATCTAATTTTTCTGGGGATAAGGAGGGGAGATTCAGATCCTTCAGGAACTCTCATTTCAGTGTTTTTAGCCACCGGGTCGGGAAGATTATAAAGTAATTTTAATAATTACCGTCAAAAATAATTTGTTTTATTCTAGGTTGCTGATTGTACATTTTTAATTTCCTGGTCAATTCTTTTCTAGGTCTGTTGTTATTATAATACCAGTTCTGTTTTAGATGGGATAATGATTTATCTCCATTTTCTTGTAATTATTTTTGTTATTTTACCCTGGATAATCAGAATCTGATCTGCCACCTCCTTAGTGGGCTTGACTTTATTCTGTCTTTCCAGTTTTGCCAAAGAAATATGTAATTCTGCTATGTAATCTCTATCCCCTCCTCTATTCATCCAATATCCCTTTTTTTTTAATCAGATATCTTCTTAAAAAGCATTTCAGGGTGCACTATCGTGTACTATCTTTAACTTCCCCATTATCATTAAACTCTAAGAAATCGTTAAATGTTTTCATAGTGTAACATTTTACCTGTATCTCGTTTGTACTTTGTACCATGATTGGCATCTTCTAATCTTATCCAGTATACCTTGCTTGAAATGATCATTGTAAAATTTACAGATTGTGAATATACAAGCTATAAAATATTAATTTCATAGAAAACTGTAGACGAAACCTCCAGATTGTGTCCTGTTATACTACATTACAACTGCATGCCTGTTTTGTCTTTAACTGCTGAAGAATAACTTTGTTTAACTATTTGTATCATGTGCACACGTAACGCGTGTTTTCTGTTTCTGGGATAATGTCTTGTAGTAACCTCTTGACACCAACTATAAGACCACAATTTACATCTTAATGTAGTTGTTCTGGTGAGTATAGTCAGTACCTTCCAGCCTTTTGCTGTAAACACTGTCTTTTCAGAATAAAGGTATTGCTTACGTTACAGCCTAGGAACATCTCTAGACAGCCACTAGAGGATGGAGACACTTACCTTTCCCCATAGAGGAGGAGATGCTATGGAAAAGCATTATTATTGGCTGAGATCATCAATTCGGAGGAGGCGGATATATCTTTTGATATTTTAATATGTTGAAAAAAATAATTTTAAACATTTATACAAAATTATTCAATTATTTGGAAAGCTGATCCAACAATATGAAATTGATTTCACGGGGAGGGGTTTCAAGTGCTAGTTCACAGTATGAGGTAGGCAAGCGTGAGGGGAGCAACGCCTTGGGGGTGTCCTCCAATCCAAATATGTAAAAGAAAGTAGGATAATGTGCAAAATATAGTGTAGTATGTAGTATTTTAAAAGGGTTCTTTAATAGTAAAACGAGAGGTAAGACAAAAAAAAAAAAACTGTATACCTAAGGGCATAGATTACCTCCTAACATGCGCATCACTGAGAGCCAATAGTGGGCTCATTACATTGTGAGTGTACAACCACATAAAAAACATTTTCTGGTGTATTGAAATACTACACTATATTGGTTCTTTATCTCTATGTTCTATGACATCTGGAATTCACCCACTGGATCAAGACATCAAATAAATCAACAGATGGAGATTGTACCGCCTAGGTGCATACATTTGGAACTAATTATGAGCTCCAGAAAACTGTAAGTGCATTAATTTTATTTAATCCACCTGAAATACTACATACAACCAGTGGTGTATTTTGGTTTTGTGCTACCCTAGGCAATTTTTTAAAATTTTACTCCACCCAGCCTCCCTACCTTTGGGAGTGGTGGCATGGAGTCTCTATGTCCCTGTGGTCCAGTGGAGTTGATGGGCTGAGTGGCTTGGCGTGCGGTCCATGGGGTCCAGTGGAGCTGCTGAGTGGCTGGGCGTGCAGTCAATGCATGAGCGCGAGGGAGCTATGATCTCCCTGCTCAGCTCCCTCACGCGCCTCTTAGTGATGCTAGGCTCGGAGTGATGTCATATTCTGGCTCCGGCATCACTGGCGAGGGAGCACTCAACCCTGAGCTCCTCCCTGTTCAGCTCCCTCGCCACTTTCCTCCATCACAATCAGATGCCAGCCTCCAGGGGCCCTAAGGTGGAATGCCAGCCAGCTCCTGGACCCCCAGGACAAGAGGCTGACAAGGCATCTGCCAAGGCGATTGGAAGGTGGCTTTTTTTGCCGTCCCCTGAAAGTGCCGCCCAAGTAAAAATTCCTTGTCAGCATCACACTAAATACAGCGCTGCATACAACACTATATTTGCATATATACACCCACAAGACTTGTCATCTTGGAGATGCTCTGACCCAGTCATCTAGTATTCACTTAAGTGAAACAAAGTGGCCATAATGTTGTGGCTGATCACTGTATACAACCACTGCAAATAACCTCATTGAAAGTGCAGACGACTGCCTTGATAATAACTGAACAACTTAGCATGCATTTTAGAATAAATAAAACACCCCCCCCCGCCCTTGAGTATAGAGAGCTGGTAGAAGTTCAGTTAAGCTACTTGCTACCTTTTCAGCACTACTAAAATCTGGAACAAGTGCCAGGTGTATATTATGTAAATCCAGGACCCTGTTCCTTTCTTACTCAGATGAACTCACTCGTAACCTGTAGTCAGGATTTCTGGGTTTGAATGCCCTCACAGTAAACAGAGACTGACAATCGAAGGCCGTTTTTGGCACAGGTTTTCTACAAACATTTGTAGTCACGCATATTGCCTGCACTGAGCACTCCTTTATTTCGCCTTTGACCCAGTAGCTGCTGAGTCAAAATGTACAAAGGTTTCTAGAGTCCACAGATAACACAGTAATATAAGTTCATATTTACAAGAGAGGGCACAACCTATAACAGTATCTACACCACTCATGCACCAAATTCATCTTTCCAGCTATATGCAAAAAACAAACAAAACACAAGCCCCTAAATACATAATAATTATTTTTTTTTAAAGTAGATTTATTGACGTTGAAAGCCATGAGTTCTTATGTGGGTAGTTGTCAGACTTTTATTTTAATTGATGGGGTTTTTTTTTGTCTGTTTGTTGCAGTGTTGTCAGTTGTAGTTTTTTACAGATCAGAGCATTTTATGTTAAACAAATGTAGTACAGGTTACAATTATCTTGCCGTTTCCAGTTCCATCTCCCTAGAACAATCATTTAATACCGATATTTAACAGCTTTTTGAGAGGCTTTTATTTAATGGTGATTTGTTCGGAAAATGACTGCAGGGGAAGTTAGAACTAGTGCAATCACCACAGAAACCAGTGGAACGTATCTGCTAAATCATTTGGTTTACTACTTCTAGAACTTGCCCAACATTTACACTACATATGTTTACATTAAAGGACCACTATAGTCACCCATACCTCTTCAGCTCAATGAAGTGGTCTGGGTGCCAGGACACCCAGGTTTTAACCCTGCAACTGTAAACATAGCAGTTTCAGGTTTTAACCCCTTCAGCCCAGTGGGAGGAGGGCCCTGAGGGTGGGAGGGACCTAAGGACTATATAGTGCCAGGAAAACGAGTTTGTTTTCCTGGCACTATAGTGCTCCTTTAAATGCACATTTGTTCATCACTCAGATAGTGTGGTATTGGAAAAGCAAAGGGCAGTCAAGATGACTACTGGATTAATGGACAAGAAGAAAACAAAGATGGAAATCAGGTGGTCAAATGGACAAGACATTTAAAAAATAACAAAAAAAACATTAGCTGGTGAGATAAAAAAAGAATTTAAAAATACTAATCGGTACCTCTACAAGGTCTTGAGTGGGCAACCACATATTAAGTCATCAATTAATTTTATTTTAAGATGAGGGATGGGTTTTCACAGGTTAATTTGGTAGCACGCGTCCAGTGAAAAATGTTACTACTGTTTTTTTCTTTCCTGTTTTTAATTATCTTTGACATTGCTATCTCCTCAAACAAAAAAAAATTAAAACTGAAATAACAAAACCTTACATATATTTGTATATGACATATTTTAGAGATATCACATTTTTTGCATTCATATAAATTTAAGTGTGTATGCAATTTATTACAAGTACTATGTAACACAGATATATTCCAAGCAGGCACAAAGTTCTCAAAAATGTTTAGCAAAACAGTCATGCCATCAAATATTAGCAAGGTAACCAACTGCGGAGTGACTGTTTCCAAGTGGTGACATTGTGTAAATCCCATATATGACGTTTACGTGGAACTATCATGCAGTATCCACCATGAACACATGATTAACTTCACATAATGCTGTATCAATGACAGTACTTTAGAGTCATCTTGTTCTCTACTTTTTTGCCATTAGGTCCCCTTCCCCCCAGTGCCAAACAAAAATATCTACACTCATCCAGCAGATGATTTCTCAAGCACGTCATTGTTTGTTTTGTTTTGCCATCTCTACATCTTGTCTGACATCAGATATGTCCTTCGGGACTCGAACTGTCATTCCATCTAAGGACTTATTCATACAAACTTGGCAACCAAGACGGGACCTGAAATGAAAAGATTTAGTGTAATCATTATTTTAGAATATTTCCATGTAATACGCATACTTACAAACTCTTATATCTTCTTTATCCATATAGATCTTTAGAAAAAAGGTCACAGTTGTGTTATTAGAGAGGATAATGCGAATGACAGACAGGTGCAATCTGCTAGTGTTATCAGGTCTGATTTGCTTCTTTGAGTCAGCAGTAGAGATTATGAGAGATTCAAAGATTAAAGGGAAACTCCAGGCACCATAAATGCTACAGCATGCTGTAGTGGTTACAGTTCTAGGAGACTCCTAGCAGTGTAAGGAGTCAAACCGTATATGATGTGACAACTTCCCTGGTGTCTGCTGGGTGCCACTCACATCCTCTACTGTGAGGCGAAAGATGTCTACTCTGAGCTCACATGAAGGTGCAATATTTATCTCATTGGCTAGGAGTGATCAGCTGATATTCTCAGCCAATAAGCTGGCTCTGGATGGCAGAGCTATCAGATAAGTATATCTATCACTCAATGGAGGAAGTGAATGGCAGACCCCAGGTAAGTCATCAAACCATTAGCGAACAGTTGAGCACCTTACATTATAAAGGTGCCAAGGGACTACTGCCACAATAAAACCTATGGCATGTTGTGGTGGTTCTGGTGTTGGAGTGTTATTTAAATTTCATGGCATAATATTTTTTTCCCCAATTATAAAACTGGCATACTATTTTTTTCCATTAACTTTCCATTAACTAGGAGATTTTGAAAGCCATGATCTCAAATAAGGCATTTCATGAATAAGTAGATATACCACTGCTGTGTTACTCCTAAATGCATTATTGCAAATCATAATACCACAGATATATCAAATCATGTGACCTTGAAAACCCTAAATTATTCACAATTAGAACAACAACTTTGGTGATTTCCAAGTGATTATTACCGTAGGCAACATAGTGAAATAAATCCTGGACACTTACATGTCAGTCAAACCAAAGGCCAAATCCAGCATATCCATCTCGTCACTAGAAATTGGGTCCAACTGGTCAAAGACTTTTTGATCAAATATGACATGACAGGTAGAACAGGCTAGTGTCCCCTCACAAGCACCTAGGGGAGTAAGGGGGACATAGGAATGATAAGTTACTGTATGGACGCTGTAAAACCACCTCTTCAGGCAGAAAATTCCATAACCTTATTTCTCTTACTGTAAAAAAACAAAACTTTTCTTTGTCTTAGATGAAATCTCCTTTCTTCCAGCCTAAATACGTGACCTCATGTCCTATGTGTAGCCCTGTTTATGAATAGATTTCCAGATAAAGGTTTGTACTGGCCCTGAATATATTGATATAATGTTATCATACCCCCTCTAAGGCGCTGTTTTTCCAAACTAAAGAGATTTAAATTTTTTAACCTTTCTTCGTAATTAAAATGCTCTATTCCTTTTATTAATTTTGTAGCTTGTCTCTGCACTTTTTCTAGTGCCATGATATCCTTCCTTAGAACAGGTGCCCAAAAATGCACAGGCATATTCAATGTGTGGTCTTACCAACGATTTATAAAGAGGCAAAATTATATTTTCATCCTGAGAATTTATGCCCCTATTTATACATGACAAAACCTTACTGGCCTTAGCAACTGCAGATTGACATTGCATATTGCTGCCTAATTTGTTGTCTATAACAATTCCCAAATCCTTCTCGTGTGTGGTTATCCCTAATTCACTACCATTTAGGGTGTAAGCATTCTTGACCCTGAAGTGCATAACTTTGCATTTCTCTACATTAAATTCCATCTGCTATTTTAGTGCCCAGTCCCCCAATCTATCTAAATCACTCTTCAGCAAAGCAATATCCGGCTCACATTTTATTACTTTACAAAGTTTTGTATCATCTGCAAACACTAAAACATGGCTTTCAATGCCTAATTCAAGATAATTTATAAACATGTTAAAAGTAGCGGTCCCAAAACAGAACCCTGATGGACACCACTTACCACTTTTGTGCAGCCTAAAAATTTACCATTAATGACAACTCATTGTACTCTATCCTTAAGCCAATGTTCTACCCAAGAACAAGAATATTCATCTAGACCAATTTCTTTTAGTTGAAAAACTAACCTATTGTGAGGAACCATATCAAATGCCCTGGCAAAATCCAAGTAGATCACATCCACTACAACACTCTGATCTATACTTCTCCTTACTTCTTCATAGAATGCAATTAGGTTAGTTTGGCATGACCTATGTTTCATAAAACCATGCTGATTGTTGCTAATAACAAAATTCTTCCCAATGAATTCCTGAATATTTTCCCAGTCACAGAAGTTAAGCTCACAGGTCTAAAAGGTGTTTTAACCTTTTTAAATATAGGAACAACATCTGCCTTCCTCCAATCCTCCGGTACAATACGTGAAACAAAAGAATCTTGAAAGATTTAATACAGAGGTTCACTTATTTCCCCACTTAGCTCCTTAAAGGACCACTATAGGCACCCAGACCACCTCAGCTTAATGAAGTGGTCTGGTAGCCAGGTCCATCTAGGGTTAGCCCTGCCTGCTGTAAACATAGCGGTTTCAGAGCAACTGCTATGTTTACATTAGGGTTAATCCAGCCTCTAGTGTCTGTCTCATTGACAGCCGCTAGAGGCGCTTCCGCGCTTCTCACTGTGAAAATCACAGTGAGAAGACGCCAGCGTCCATAGGAAAGCATTGAGTAATGCTTTCCTATGGACTGACTGAATGCGCACATGGCTCTTGCGGTGCTTGTGCATTCAGTGGATGACGTCGGAAGAGGGAGGAGAGTCCCCAGTGCCGGTAAAAGGTAAGAGTTTAACCCCTACGAGTTTGTTTTCCTGGCACTATAGTGGTCCTTTAAGTACTCGTGGGTGAATACCTTCAGGCCCTGGAGCTTTATTTACACAAATTTTCTTTAACTGCTATAGCACCTTGTCTCGAGTCATCCCATCAAAAGCGATCTCCAAGATTTTTGCAGCAATCATTTGCTTATCTCTTGCCATAGGATCCTCATTAATATATACTGAAGAAAATTGTTATTTACAATTTCTGCCTTTTCCTGGTCTTCCTTAACTAACAGACACATCTCTGTTTCGAGTGTACCTACACTTTCATTTTTTGTTTTTTTAGAATTGATGTACTTGAAAAATAAATTGGGGTTGGTTTTGCATTCGTTGGCTATCAATTTCTCATTTTCTAGTTTAGCCACATTAATTGCCTTTTTGCAAGTATTATAGGCTTCCTTACATCTTATATAGGATGCCTCTGATTTGTCCGATTTAAATGCTTTAAATGCCCTCTTCTTATTTTTAATCTCTTGTTTTACTTCTCTACTAGCCACATTGGGTTCAATTTGTTCCTTTTATATTTATTACCCAATGGTACATACTGAGAAATGTACCTTTCTAATATTTGTTTGAATAGTTTCCATTTATCCTCAGTGTTTTTATCACTAAGGAGTTTATGCCAGTCGATATGTAGTAGAGCTGTCCTAATCTTATTGAAATTGGCTTTTATAAAAGTATATGTTTTAGTATACCACCACATGCTTTTGCTTTTTTGAGTTTGTTTTAAAAATTACCATATTGTGATCACTATTTCCCAAATGCTCCCCTTTCTAGTTGGTGCTTGTAACAGTTGTTCTTTAGTAATAGATCCTCATAGACACATAAATGTGTTATGAGAAAATTACGATCTCTCATACAGTATGAGATCATAATAACAGTCTCATATAGAGACTGTTATAGACCATGAGACTTGAACAGCTTGTGTTCTCCTTGTGTCTGAGTGGAGTGAATTCTCACTTTCGTAAATAACCATGAGTGATAGGAGAACCTAAAACAAGGAGAATAAGTTGCTTTAAACATGTGTTTCAGTAATTTTACAATGTGTTAGCATTCTACATGCCCACAATGCACAGAGCATAGTTACCTGTCTCAAATATACAAAATAAACCACCCTCACCAAGAGTAATAAGGCACTTTACCACGGTTATCTACTAAAGTAAGAATTGATGGTAAATTTAAACAAATTTCAAATTTAAGGTCAACATAGGCACCCTGGACAAATTCTCTAAATCAGCTATGTTTTTGGATGAGCTATTCTGTCCTTATATTTGGAATTCAATTTTAATCTCACTTTTGTAAATAACCATGAATAATATGTAATTTCTGCCTGCTAACACTTTTTACGGTGCCTTATTGGAAAGCTATAGAGGGAACAAATGATTAAATGATTAAGCAGTTTTTAGATGTGTCACTGCTGCTTGGTAGTAATATGATCCACAAGTTTCCATTTTGTTTTACATTTTCTTGTAGCTATCCAGGAAATTCTTGAGACACCTATAATTAGCATGTTTTTCTTAAGTTTATTATAGCAACAGGAAAAATATTCAATAAGCGTTGGAATATATCAAACGTCTACTGCGGGATACACCTGGATAACTATAATTTTGATCAAAATCATACCATAAGTTTAACTAGTCTTCATACACCCTCATACCTTTGTATTTATCACCACCAAAAGTCCATTTGATCAATTTACAAATATTGTAGGCCCAATACACTAAATAAGGGTCACCCATATGGCTCCTACTGGAGCAGAGATTACATACGTCCTTCTAGCCTTATCGAGTCATACCAGCAACGAGCCGACATTCTCAGCCAATCACAGCCACCATTGCTGCTCAGGCTAAAGCCTCCTTATTACCCTGAACAGCACAGAGTGGATGAGCTGATGAGGACTCTTGTTTAGCATTAAAACATTTAAAAAAAAAAAAAGGATGGTGCCATGTGACTCCAGACACAATAACCACTTTACTTGTGAAGCAGTTACATTACAGAGCCTAAAGTGTCCCTTTAAGAAACACAGTACAACACTATGCATGACTGCCTAACTGAAAAATATTATCAGTGTATCCGATTTTCAAGTATTCAGTTAGACCCAAGCATTGAACATTATAAAATACTGAATACAGAAGATTATTACCATTTTTTTTTTAAAATATCTCATATATTGATGTATTTTATGATTTTCAATATAGGCTGAACTTTTATCTGTTTACAGATAAACTCACCAAAGCCATCAATGTTCAGGCGGTGGCGGATCACCACTTCCAAAAGACTTTCTCCCTCTTTGGTCGTGGCGGTCAGTGTCTCTCCATCACGGTTAAGGAAATTAACTGTAAGAGTGTCTTCTGAAGATCTGTCAACGAAAGAAGGAAAATTGTAAATTCATTGTCATGCTTAGCAAGTCTAAACATCATGTACGTTGTAGTTGTAAAACAACTGGAGATCTACATGGTGAACGCCATCCAACATTTCATTGAAAAGTAATTTTTTACCATTTAGTAGAAATAATCCCAAAGAAAACATATACGGCAGACATACTCAAGCTTAGCGTATCTGCCGCTTCCCTTTGCTCTGTGAACCTAACAGAAACTGAGGAAACCCTCCCTTGCTGTCCAAGTGGGTCTGATGCAAATTATAAAAGTGTTGATTTCTATTGAAATTGGAACTTGCACAAATTGTCAAGAATATGACAGATTCCAGACATTTAAAGCACTTCAGCACTGTGAGCAGGGTCCTCATCAACCTATTGTCCTATAATTAATTATATAACTTAATGTTACAATTCCCCCCTTCACTATATTGTAAAGCGCTGCAGAATAAGCTGACACTATATAAATGCTAATAATAATATTAATAATAATGTGTGTAGAGTGTTCCTTTAACCCATTATTTAGTTCTAATTACTGAGCAATGCATGTCAAGGTGTGATTCTACACAATTAGTCAACCAGCAATTAATTCAACCTTAATATGGATGTGCGTTTATTTCTAGTTAAATAGCTTACAGGCAAAGTAAGAACACTACAATAGATTCACAAAAATGAGAATTCAAAGTGAATGTAAAGTGAAATTCAGATTCAAAGCTAGAGTTCACAAATATCACTTTAGTGGATAACTTTAGTGAATAGCTCGGCATTTCTCAAAATAGATATTTGTCTTGAGCTGTGTAAAGGGCCCCCAAAAAATGGAGCTGCTTCCCGTTCTCCCAGAACATTGATTTTTGTGACCACAGTTACAAACCGCCTCCAGAGAGCCTGTTCTACACCAGACCAATGGAGCCAGACTGCAGCTAGAGCCCATCATCATCCTCATCTGGTTGTAAGTAGGCAATCTAGTATATTATTCGTGACACTAATCTCTAATTTACCTCACATTAAAGAAACACTTTATTACAATATCAGATAAAATGGTTATGCTAAAGGGACACCATAGTCACAAAAACAAATCTAGCTTGATTAAGCAGTTTTGGTGTATAGATCGTGCTCCTGCAGTCTCACTGCTCAATTATCTGCCATTTAGGTGTAAAATCACTTTGTTTATGCAGCCCTAGTCACACCTTCCTGCATGTGACTTACACAGCCTTCCTAAACACTTCCTGAAAATAGTCATCTAATGTTTGCACTTCCTTTATTGCAAATTCTGTTTAATTTAGAATTTATGATCTCCTGCTCTGCTAATAGCAAAATAGCTGGGCCCAGAATCAGACCAAGACAGATGAGGAGAATGTGGGCCTACATGATACATGATTAATGATCACTGAACAAAACCTCCCTTAAGCTCAACAAGCAGGAAAATATACATTTGGCTTATGGGGGATCAAATGAGGTGTAACAACAGTGATAACACAGGTGTAACAGTCCCTACATTGGCTTCCTGTAAGATATAGGGCTCAATTTAAAATTCTGGTTCTTGCTTTCAAATCGCTACATAATGCTGCTCCCACCTATCTATCCTCCCTTATACACAAGTATGTCCCATCTGCGATCTGCTGAAGACTTAGGTTTATCTTCTGTCCGTGCTCCCACCTCTGATGCTCGCCTTCAACTTCTCAAGGGCTGCTCCGTTCCTGTGGAACTTACTTCCCTCCTCTGTTAGATGCTCACCCAGTCTCCACTCCTTCAAAAAATTGTTAAAAACCCACTTTTACTTAAAAGCATATCAATTTAATTGTTAATAGCTCCCAACTGATTCCTCTCTTGCAACTGTCACTAGTCTAATACTATCCTTACCTTTTGTGTCATTTTACCCCACTCCCTCTAGCATGTAAGCTCATTGAGCAGGGCCCTCAACCCATCTGTTCCTGTGTGTCTAACGCAAAGGTTAGTGGTATATCAAATTAAATAAATGTAGTAGAACCACCCCATTTACTCTGTAGGCTGTTTGCTGCTATGTTGCTACCCAAACATGTTAAGTCTTAAACACAGAAGGAAATAGACTCTGTCCTTTTGAGAGCACACTTTCTATTCGGACTTATATTGATATACCTGGGCATGGAGACAATCTTTCGGATCCATCCCTTACTATTTCACCTTTAGTTCATAGATATTAAGGACCTGTGGCGTCCAACTTGTTTTATAGTCATTAAGCATTATGGAACAGTTAATATTTAGTTAATATTTAGTTTCCCCTTTTGACAGTTTTACTTTAACCCCTTAAGGACACATGACATGTGAGACATGTCATGATTCCCTTTTATTCCAGAAGTTTGGTCCTTAAAGGGTTAAGCAGACTATAATTCAGTTTAAAGTTTAAATATTGCGTATTGTTGGAAAATCTAAAGTTGTGACATAATTGTGCTACCTATTAATAAAATCTGTTTCTCTTTTTGCATCATTTCAAATTTCATAATGTTCTAATTTCCACTTAGCTGTTGATAATTTTTATCTCGAACAAGAACCTTGAACGTTGTGGTATCTACAACTTTTGCAGTATATGACAGGACTAAAGCCGTATAAATTATGTTAACCTTGAATTTTCTTGAATTCTTAGTAAGGCCCCAGTCCAAGGATACAATTATTATAATTAACGCAGATGCAACATGTTCTATGAGTCTTATACATTTATTACAATTAAAGTAATGATACAAAATGTTGAATAGAATATTGCACATTGTTAAAAAAAATCTGATAAAATATAAAACCTAATAATTAATTATAAACAACTTTCCAGTTTGCTGAATTGAGCAAAAAGATTGATTTAGGCAGATCTGGTTGGATAAGCTGACGGGAATTCTCACAGTGACAGTTTGGTCAATGTAAAGAAAATCAAGTATGTAAAAAAAGAGAAATAGAATGCAAAGGCGGGTAAGAACCATTCGGCCCATCTAGTCTGTCCAATTTTCTAAATACTTTCATTAGTCCCTGGCCTTATCTTATAGTTAGGATAGCCTTATGCCTATTCCACGCATGCTTAAACTCCATTACTGTGTTAACCTCTACCACTTTAGCTGGAAGGCTATTCCATGCATCCACTACCCTCTCAGTAAAGTAATACTTCCTGATATTATTTTTAAACCTTTGTCCCTCTAATTTAAGACTATGTCCTCTTATTGTAGTAGTTTTTCTTCTTTTAAATATGGTCTCCTCCTTTACTGTGTGTTGATTCCCTTTATGTATTTAAATGTTTCTATCATATCCCCCGGCTCGTCTTTCCTCCAAGCTATACATGTTAAGATCCTTTAACCTTTCAAGTTTCATCCTGCAATCCATGAACCAGTTTAGTAGCCCTTCTCTGAACTCTCTCTAAGGTATCAATATCCTTCTGAGGTGGAGGGGGCGGTCCGCCCTGGGTGCCACCAGGGTGGGGGGTGCCTTGGGAGGGGGCGCCCCCAGGAGCACCGGCCCCCCTCATGCTGCAGCTGCCCCAGCACTCTGTAGAGAGCCTCAGGCGGCTGCAGCTTTGCCCGCACGGGCGCAGCCTGAGGAGAGGGGTTGACAGGAGGGAAGCACTCAGAGCTCCCTCCTGTCACTCCCTCACTGTAGCGTGGCCGAGCTCTGTATCATGGTCCGCGGGTACAGGGAGCATCTGTCTCAAAAACCCGGCCGGACTAACAGGAAGTACACACTGAGTGTTCACTTCCTTTTAGTCCGGCCGGGTACAGGAAACAAAAGCTCCCTGTACCCCCGGACCATGATACAGGGCTCGGCCACGCTACACCAGAGGTGGGGGGAGGATAAATAGAAGATTGGGAGGGATAAGGAAATGGGAGGGATAAATAAAGGTGGGAGGGATAAAGAAAGAGGGGGGGGGAGAAATTGGGAGGGATAAATAAAGATGGGAGGGATGGGAAATTGGGAGGGATAAGAGATTGGGAGGGAGGATAAGGAAATTGGGAGGGATAAATAAAGATTGGGAGGGGGATAAGAAAAGATTGGGAGGGGGGATAAATAAAGATTGGGAGGGGGGGATAAGAAAATTGGGAGGGGGATAAAGAAAGATTGGGAGGGGGGAGAAGGGAGGGGGGATAAAGAAAGAAATTGGGAGGGGGAGAAGGAAATTGGAGAGGGGGATAAAGAAAGAAATTGGGAGGGGGGAGAAGGAAATTGGGAGGGGGAGAAGAAAGAGGGGGGGAAGGGGGGATAAAGAAAGAAATTGGAAGGGGGAAAAGGAAATTGGAGAGGGGAGATAAAGAAAGATTGAAGGGGGGATAAAGAAAGAAATTGGGAGGGCAAGAAGGAAATTGGAGGGGGGGATAAAGAAAGATTGGGAGGGGGGATAAAGAAAGAAATTGGGAGGGGGATAAAGAAAGAAATTGGGAGGGGGAGAAGGAAATTAGAGGGGGGGGAGAGAAGGAAATTGAATGGGGGGAGAGATTGACATTCATCACACACAATGCACCCCTTGCAGACAGAAAAACACACAATGCATTACACACACTGCATTACACACACAGACACACATACACAAGCAATGCGACTATTACACACAATGCATCCCTTACACACACAGAAACACACAATGCATTCATTACACACACTCAATGCACCCCTTACACACACTCAATGCATCCCGTACATACACAGAAACACACCTTGCAGCCCTTACACATACAAACACAGATTCACACAATGCATTCCTTACACACATATCAGGACATCCCCTACACACTCCACCCCCTGTAAACAAACTAATTGGTGGAACATGAAGGTGGACCCTGGGACCCAGACCTTGAGCTGTGTAAAGGGCCCCAAAAAATGGAGCTGCTTCCCGTTCTCCCAGAACATTGATTTTTGTGACCACAGTTACAAACCGCCTCCAGAGAGCCTGTTCTACACCAGACCAATGGAGCCAGACTGCAGCTAGAGCCCATCATCATCCTCATCTGGTTGTAAGTAGGCAATCTAGTATATTATTCGTGGCACTAATCTCTAATTTACCTCACATTAAAGAAACACTATAGTCCCCAGAACCACTGCAGCTTAATGTAGTGGTTCTGGTGTCTATAGCCTGTCCCTGCAGGCCTTTTAATGTAAACACGGCGGCACTGCAGCACTGGCATTAGATAACATGGCAAATCATATGGGTGGGGCATTGTGATGTCACATGGGGGGGCGGCAAACTTTACATTTGCCTAGGGCGGCAAAAATCCTTGCACCGGCCCTGGCTGGAGGGGGCTGTGTGAGCTGTGGCCGCACAGTGCCCCATGGTAGTTAGGGTGCCGTGCGGCCAGTACAGCTCACACAAGCAAACAACTGATAAACTGGCCGCACGGAGGAAAAGTGGGGCGGAGCTAAGCAAAATCAGAGGTGGAGCCAAACTGGCGCTGGGGGAGGGGCTTTGGGGGTGCAAGGGGTGCCAAGCACAGGATCCGCCCCGAGTGCCAAATGCTCTAGGTACGCCCCTGGTCTCCAGTACAATACTCCAAGTGAGGTCTCACCAGTGTTTTGTACAATGGCATGAGCACTTCCCTCTTTCTACTGCTAATACCTCTCCCTATACAACCAAGCATTCTGCTAACATTTCCTGCTGCTCTATTACATTGTCTGCCTACCTTTAAGTCATTAGAAATAATCACCCCTAGATCCCTTTCCTCAGATGTTGAGGTTAGGACTCTATCAAATATTCTGTGCTCTGCCCTTGGGCTTTTACATCCAAGATGCATGATCTTGCACTTATCCACATTAAATGTCAGTTGCCACAATTCTGACCATTTTTCTAGTTTACCTAAATCATTTGCCATTTGGCTTATCCCTCCTGGAACATCAACCCTGTTACATATCTTAGTATCATCAGCAAAAAGACATACCTTACCATCAAGACCTGAAATGAAAAACAAATCAATAAAACAGCAAAAATATCTTATGGACATTGATCAAAAATGGTCTGTGTAAAGCAGATCTGTCACTTTTGAGTAGTGCAATGATACAATCTTAATAAAATACTCATGTTGACTGCATTGGAATGTCATTGAGAATAATAAGGAACTATGGGGTCTTATGGGTAAAGCAGAAGTTGACAAAAGACAGACATTCTGCTATCACCTTTTTCAACTGAAATAAATGGTTCCTTCTGGTGCATTGCTGCAGATGTTCCATTAAGTGGTTCCTTCTGGTGCATTGCTGCAGATGTTCCATTAAGTATCCCACTTTCTCCCAATCTTCTATATAAAAAAAAAAAAAGTATTTTGCACTTTAGCCCATGATGCAGGCTTCTGAAGTGACAGTATCATAAATCGATTCTGTAGTGTTAGGAATACAAATTTGTATTGCCAACACTATAGTGCCTTCTGGTCCCTCCTCCAATAAAGGGTTAAAAAAAAACCCTTTATTTACTCACCCAATTCCTGCGCTGATGTCTCCTGGTGCTGGGTCGGTACTCCGCCTCCTTCGACATGATCTGATGCTAGCACCGCAAGCGCATTAGGCCTTTCCCACAGGAAAGCATTGTCTAAATGCTTTCCAAGGGCATTTCACAGACGCTGTATGTCCTCATGCAGACTGTGAGGATGTCCAATGTTATTTAGGGGACCTCTAGTCTGGTAGACAGCCACTAGAGTTTCTAAAAAACTGCAATGATTTACATTGCAAGACTAAGGGGGACAAGGACATTGCACCCAGGTCACTTCAATGAGTTGTTGTGGTCTGGATGCCTATAGAGTCACTTTAAGAATATTTCAAGAGTAAAGATAGTAGTATCTGCGTGAGAGAACTTCAGGTAGGTTTATCATCCTGTAGCTTCTTCCACTTGGGCAAAACACATCAATTGGACACATTATCATCTGGGGTCTTCGCAAAAGACTCCAAATGTAACACTGCTGCTTCTGTTTATTTATTTATTTTTCAGTACTTTAAACACATTTAACAAGGGTGAAAATGAAATTAAAATTCCAGTGGCAGAATTGGTGCAAATAATATAAACCATCAAGTATTTTAATCATAAGTACTACAGTATACCTAGAGTTAATAAAAATAACACATCAGGGCTTGTTCCTCTTTTGCATAATATGGATGGTCAGATGGACAGACAGACAGAGACACAAATATGTAACAGACAGAACATATCAGCTAATAGGCATTGAAGAGTAAGATAACCTTTAGAATAATTACAAGCTGATGTTAATGTAGTAACACTCTAAGCCCTTCTAAATATGAGTAAAAAAGACTGTATTGCAGATTAAAGGTAAATAAAATACATTACTTTATTAGAATTAAAAAATTACAAGTAATAAAAATTCAAAAATAATCAAAATGTTAATGTGACAAGTAGACATGACAAACTTAAATAACCACAATGTACAAGTGCAACAAAATATCAAATGTAATGCTTCAGAATATAGCATATAGGACCCTAATGATACCTGGTCATTATTATTTATATACCTCTTAGACATTAATTTTAATAATTGGAGACAAGTCCCACCATATTTCAGCACAATATTCAGCATATATGCTTTCCTTCTTGGACTTGATCTATTCTGAATGACTGTTTTAATTAAAGGTCTCACAGGGGATGCACCCACACCTGATCCCCAAAACTATAGAGTTGCATCACAGCTGCACTTCCCTATGTCCCCTACAGGTATGTTGCTATAACCCCTGCTTCTAGTTTGTTCAGTCTGCTGTAGAATCATAGACTGGAATGTAATAACTGACATTTAAAAACCTTGTACAAAGATAAATGTCTAGATGTGAAACCAATTTAAAGATATAACTGTATAGCATGCTCCGTGATAGCAATGTAGAGGCATTACACCACCATTAAATGGACACTATAGACTCATTGAAGTGGTTTGGGTGCAGTGTCCCTGCCTCCCTTAGTCATGTAATGTAAAATCATTGCAGTTTTAAAGAAACTGCAATGATTGCATTGCAGAACTAAGCCTGTCTCTAGTGGCTGTCAATTAGACAGCCACTAGAGGCACTTCCTGTTTGTTAGGCAACTTCTGGATGCCTGACACTGGATGTCCTTATTGTGCATGAGGACACCCAGCGTTAGTTAAAATCCCATAGTAATGCATTGCAGGAATGCTTTTCTATGGGGATGGCCGAATGTGCTCGCGGTGCTTTCCGTTGTGTGACTTCAGACGAGGCCAAGCACCGACCCAGCACCAAGAGACATCGGTGCTGGAATCGGATAAGTACAGTAAGGGTTTATTAATTATATTTGTATTTCTAAAACAATAGTATCCTTTAGGTTTAGGTAAATGGAAGTTGAAGAGGGTCTTTATCATTATCATGATTCTCATGATGAGGCAAGAACTAAACTCTCCCAACCCTAATTACTCTAAACCTAGTGCACAGGTACAGAAAAGACGTGTTCTTTGTCATTACAGCACCAAGTACAGAAATGTACACAGCCCTGTAACATAGCTAAGTAAAAAAGGGCTGAAGGTCATGTGGTAGTAAATAACTCAGATATGGAGCAGCTGGGAATAAAGGGAGGGAGGATTTGATGTGTGATGTGTGTCTAACAACTCTTCTGTTTAATAAGAGGCTTTCTTTTACTAGGGAACGTCGGGCTGTGGTCATGTACCACAGCAGTAGCCAGTACCCAGACTAGGCCTCCATATCTTTACATGAACAGATACCTGCAGCATGAAACATGTATATATAGAGAACTCTGGGCTTGAGAGAAACATCACCTGATGAAACAGACTCGTGCATAGGTATATAATGTACTTTTTAGTCCAGCCTGTGTAAGGGTTGGACCACTTAAATGTTTGTCTAATGTGTTGAAGAGACACTCTTTTGGCTGGAATAGAAGAAGCAGGACATAGCAGGGACTCTTATTTCCGGTCAACCCACCAACACACACAAGCATGTGAAGATTGGAGATGTGACATAAGTATTGCAATATAATTTTGGGTGTAAACACAGGAAGCTGTGGCCCCAGACCAATTTCATGTCAATTAAGTTGTTATGGTGTCTGGAGTTCCCAGGCACCATCTCCTCTTACAGCTTACAGTAAACTATGGTGTTAGGAATATAAACACTATAGTGTTGGACTACCTGTTAATGTCCCTGGCCCCCCTCAGAATTTAGTAAAAAGGTTGATTACTTGCCGTGGCTGGCCCTGCTTCCATGCCTGAGATCATTAATCATGATGACCTCAGTATATCCAATGCTTACGCGTAGGGAATCTGTGGCAGGCTATTGCAACGCACCAATCAGCATATCCTCAGAGAGGTGCATTGAATCAATTAATCTGTATGGAGAGAGTGGAGACGCTGAACGTAGGCGCTGCATACAGTACAGCACTGATATAGGAAGCACCTCTAGTGGCCCTTTGAGTGACTGCCACAAAAGGTCTTACTAGACAGCAATGTAAGTGTGAATAATTGTTATGGGGTGTTGGGGGGGGATGAGGGGAGCCTGACCCTTTTAGCAGAGTCCCTTTTGTTGACATGACTCAGCAAAGCAGTTATGAGAGGCATGAACTTAAAATGTATCAACACACAGGAGCTGACACGTAATAATGAATAGTGTATGTTTAGCACCTAGCAGTAATTTACTAATCCAATAGTACGCTGTTATTAATTGTATTACCTGTGTATAGTGATGCACAAATTGGAACTATTTTACGTTTACTGACCTCATGTTAAATCCATGTGGTAAAGTGTTTTATTTATTTATTAAACAGTTGCAATTTCATATGCATATTTTTTATTATTATTTACAAAGCGCCGACCAATTCTGCAGCGCTGTACAATGGGTAGCAGAATAATGTTCGCTCTGCTGGTTTTTGACAGCTAAAAATGAAATAAGGAAAACAAGAAAGAAAGTTCATCATCTCAATTTTCTAATTTTCATACTTTGTTCGTTTTTACAATTATTTTATCGTTTGCGGCTGGTTAGTAAATGCTTATCGATTGCTTACGATTGTCTGACCTATTTTTGGTATTTGCACTTTAACTGAAAATAATAAGGGATATACCCTTATTACTTTCAGTTAAAGTGCAAATACCAAAAATAGGTCAGACAATCGTAATTACAACACTATTTACATGCTTTTCATTTTCAATATTATTTTATTAATTTGCCGTCGGTATTTATACATGAAAACAAACTAATGAGATATAATAAACATAATAACAGGCATATTATATTTCAGTGTATAGAAAAATCCATAAATTATGAAGCAATGCTACACTGTTTAAGCTATTTTACATAATAGAAAGCTAATAATCATATTATTGAATACATTATATAAACATTACAGCAACATTACAGCACTATAAATTGACTTTTTATGATAGCAATACAATATCCTTTTTGGAAAAGTAATTTGATAAGCACTTGCAATGTGATTTAATAACTTGAATGAGATCTAAATAGTAATGATTTTAAGCTTACAGGGCTCTGGAAAATGCTAGTTCTATATAAATAATAATAATAATAATAACATTAATAATAATAAATAGGAATCCTTCACATAATGAAATAAATCTAACTAGCCTTGATGTTTGACTTAAGTCCCAGTGTTGGGGAATGTGTGTGTGCTATGTAAATCCAGCTAATAATGAATCCCACTACATTTGATTTTCAACTTACTGCGCTATGGAATATGTTGGCACTATATAAATAACAATAAGTATGAATTCTTCTATTCTATGAGATCTAGTTAGTCACAATATTGAACGGAGGTTCTGTAGAATATGCTGGTGATCGATAAATAATGAAAGTATTATTCATTTTAAAAACTGAAAAGTAAATTCCTCATTAGCTGTGTAACAGGGCATACCCCAGGAATGATCAGGTTGAGACTTACCCAGAGTTTGCTTTGCTGTCCTGGCACCTTGCAGTGGAAGTGAAACTCCTCGCATGGCAGACTGGCACTGCCCGAGTTATGGCATAATAAAGAGGAGATAACAAGCCCTTATTTCCACTGGCAAATTTTCGTACAAGGCCTGCAACACGACAAGCCATTTTCAGAGAGAAAATATTCTGACTACAGGTTGTCTAGTGATTGTCTGTATTTCACTGAATTCTGCATATAAGGAGAGCAGGGTGTAACCTTCACATTACACACCCCTACCCTGGCATATGCACTAGCCTTTTAAAGTGAACTTGTTACTTTATTTTAACGTTGCGTAAATTGTCCCGAAATGCATTGAATACATCATATATCATCAAAGGTAAATTTAAAAGGAGCACCACATAAAAAAAGTAACACAAGTTATAAGTGAAATTTAATATTTTAATCAAAGGTGTAAAGGATCCTCATTAGGAAACGTTTAAAAATTTAACCTAATTACTACTAGGTTATTTTTTAAGCTATGCCAAACTGGGAAGCACTCCCTTCCTCTGTGCTACTCTTCCAGACCTCAAGATCCAATCTTACCCCTCGGGTGTCCATATTTAGGAGGGACAGTGATACAACTTATATAGGTGGCGCTTAAAGAAAGAAAAAACAAGGTGCTGCTAGATTACCCAAGTATATTGCCACCACATATACTTAAAAAAACAAAATATAGTGTAAAGATATAAGGTAAAGCGCACACAAATATGTTACCTGGGATATATATACAATTGTGGTAACTGATGGTAGATATTCCTTATGTATACGTAAAGGATATACTTGTTAACAGATAGTACAGATTACCTACACAAAAATATAAACAAACAACAGAACATAGTGTAATCTGTATATATGATAAAATAAAGTGATTTTGAGCTGAAACCACTCACAATTTTTTGAGACGATTGGCTTGGAATTTATACAGCGTATATGCCTTTTCCAAGGACATAGATGATCTTCTCCTTTTAATGGATTCTCCAATTGATGGTTATTCCATATAATGGGAATTCAAATCAGGAGCCAGGAGTTGGAGATATTTTCAAACAAATGTATTACTTTATAAAAACAAAATAAAGTGCACAACGCGTTTCAACCATGGACTTCCTCAGGTGCTGATGAACTTTCAAATGTACACAAAGCCGTTTATATAGGCTATGGTAACCAAACATAACAACATAATTGATTACATATGTAACATAAAACATCGCCTCCTTCCTTATATGGTCCTAACCGGATGTGTTTTGCCACCTCCAATATGGCCACACATCCGGTCCGGATATCCCTCGGATGCCATCTTAGTTAACCCGAAAACATATACATTCTAAAACAGGGGCGGAATTACAAATAGATGTTAAAACAAAAAAAGACAAAAAAGACAAATATTCCTTCTCAGCAGAGACAACAACAACGAGATAGATAGCTCGTTGGTGTCTCTGCTTTCCGAAGGATATATGAATCTTGCGTGTCAGTCCGCGACGCCACTTCCTGTGACGCGTCGGTCCGTTTCTCCAGTCCGTCGCGTCATTTCCAGTTTCGCCGGATCGCCGCATGATGGTCACGGACAAAGAGTGTCCTTTGTTAACAATATGGCACGTTTCCATGTTGTCGGAAAAACAACATACTGTATTACCTGACCAGCATGTGCCCCATATGACTGCGGTGGTCACTATCAGAAAAAGTTCAAACAAGGCTGAGGTGGTAGTGAACACTGGGACATCCTTAATTTCATCTGGCCAATTACCCCACATCCACATGTTTCCAAATATGGCAGCAAAACAGGATGTGGCCACGGCATCCATCCAGACTGAAAAGGATTTGTCAGTTAAAACCGGAATAAATATACTATTCACATTCCAATTACGTAGGAATTCCCTCCACATGCATAAATCAGCGGTGGCATGCCAATCCAGCGCGATGCAGGAGTAATCCAACTGGAATTGTGGGAAAAGACAAAGTAATCTTGATAGGAATGCACACCTCTGTGGTATGATCTTCATTGAGGGAACCCAACAATGATTGGAGTTCCTTCCAATTATTATTATTATTATTATTTTATTATTTATATAGCGCCAACAAATTCCGTAGCGCTGTACAATGGGTGGACTTACAGACACATAATTGACTGGACGTACAGGAACAGAGGGGGTTGAGAGCCCTGCTCGATGAGCTTACATGCTAGAGGGAGTGGGGTATAGTGACACAAAGGGTTAAAGTAGGGGAATTACATAGTTTGTTAGAGAAGGGTTTATTGAGTGCTTGGTAAGTCATTTTTGACAATTGCAGGAAAGGAGTCATGGGGTGGGGGATGAGAAACCTGCTGACAGTTTAATTGATATGCTTTAATGAAGACGTGAGTTTTCAAAGCTTTTTTGAAGGAGTGAAGGCTGGGTGAAAGTCTGATTGAGGAGGGAAGGGAGTTCCACAGAATAGGTGCAGCCCTGGAGAAGTCTTGAAGGCGAGCATCAGAGGTGGGGATCCGGGCAGAGGATAGGCGTAGGTCTCGGGCTGTGCGCAGGGGTCTTGACGGGACATACTTGTGTATGAGGGAGGATAGGTATGTTTGAGCAGCAGTATGTAGGGATTTGTAAGCAGGTGCCAGAATTTTGAATTGGGCCCTATATCAAACTGGAAGCCAATGCAGGGACTGACAGAGCGTGGAGGCGTGGGAGGTGCGACCAGACAGGAAAATAAGCCTCGCAGCCGCATTCATTATAGATTGCAGCGGTACAAGCTGGGAACATGTAAGACCGGTGAGAAGGGGATAGCAGTAGTCAAGGCAAGAGAGAACAACAGCATGAACCAGTACCTTAGCCGCGTCCGGGGTTAGATATGGGCGGATGCGCGCTATGTTCTTGAGTTGGAAGCGACAGGATTTGGCTATCGATTGGACATGGGGAGTAAAAGAGAGATCAGAATCAAAAAGAACCCCTAGGCAGCGAGCCTGCGAGGTAGAGGTGATAGTAGCGCCGTTGACTTGGATGGAAACAGACACAGGAGTAGCAGCAATTGAGTGAGGAAAAACTAGAAGTTCTGTTTTGGACAGGTTGAGTTTAAGGCAGTGAGCAGCCATCCAGTTGGAAATAGTAGAGAGGCAGTCAGAAACACGAGTCAAGGTGGGTGGAGAGAAATCAAGGGAGGACAGGTAGATTTGCGTGTCATCTGCATATAAATGATATTGGAACCTAAAGGAGCTGATGAGTTTACCAAGGGAGGCAGTATAGATAGAGAACAGTAGGGGGCCGAGGACAGAACCTGGGGGGACGCTGACAGAGAGGGGTTGGGGAGAAGAGGAAGACCAAAGTTACGGAGAATGTGAAGAAGCTGTTGATGATCAACAGTGTCAAAGGCGGCAGAAAGATCAAGGAGGATTAGGATAGAGTATTGGCCGCGAGATTTAGCAGCAATTAAATCGTTGGATACTTTGGTCACAGCAGCTTCGACATAGTGACCAGCACAGAATCCAGACTGAAGGGGGTCAAGCAGAGAGTTGGATTCGAGAAAGTCTGTCAATCTAGCGTACACAACTCTCTCGAGGATCTTGGAGGCAAATGGCAGTAGCGAGATAGGGCAGTAGTTGGATGGGGAGTTGGGATCAAGGTTGGGCTTTTTCAGAATTGAGGTTATGGTTGCATGTTTGAAGGGTGAGGGAAATGTGCCAGAGGAAAGGGAGAGATTGAAAATGTTAGCGAGAGGAAGAGCAAGAGAGGGAGACAAAGTGCGGATGAGATGAGATGGAATAGGATTGAGGGAGCAGGTGGTGGGGCAGGAGGACAGGAGCAGAGCAGAAACCACTTGTGCTGTAGCAGGTGCAAATGAGCATAGGATGGCATGGGAAGTGGGGTTGGGTGATGTATTGATAGGGGTAGGAGAGAGATTAGAAATCTATTGTAGAGATCTTCTCAGTGAAATGAGATGCAAAGTTTGTGGCAGACAAGGTGGTGGAACGAGGGGGAGTCACAGGGCGAAGAAGAGCATCAAAAGTGTGAAACAGGTGTTTCGGTTGATGGGACAGTGTGCTTATAAGGGTGTTGAAGTAGTTTACTTTTGCAGAGGAAAGAGCCATGCTGGACAAAGTCAGATGCAAAGTGAAACTTTCTCAAGAAGCGTTCAGCAGTTCTGGAACATTTTTGGAGGTAATGGGTCAGCTTGGTGTGCCAGGGTTGTAGTTGGGGGCACTTGCTGCGTTTAACTATAGGAGGTGCCATGATGTCAAGTTGAGAGGAGAGAGTGGAGTTGTAGAGTGAGGTTGCAGAGTTAGGGCAGTTGAGATTTGAGATGGGTAAAAGGAGTGTTTGGAGTTTGGTGGAGAAGTGCTGGAGATTGGGGGAGTTGAGGTTTCTGCGAGGTTGGAGAGTTGATGGTGGTGAAATTTTGGTATGGGGTTTGCAGATGTTAAATGTTAGCAGATGGTGGTCAGACAAAGGAAATGGAACAGTGGCGAGATCAGAGGTGGTACAGAGATTGGTGAAGATGAGGTCAAGAGTGTTTCCTGCAGTGTGAGTTGCTGAGGAAGAAATCTGTGTGAGTCCAAAGGAGGAGGTTACAGAGAGCAGACCAGAGGCATCAGGGCAGTTGAGCTTGTTGATAGGGATATTGAAGTCCCCAAGTTTGAGAGAGGAAGTGCTAGAGGAAAGAAAGTGGGGTAACCAGGAGGAAAAGTGTTCAATAAATAGTTTAGGGTGACTGGGGGGGGGGGGCGATAGATGATGGCAATTCTTAAAGGAGATGATGGCAATTCTTAAAGGAAGAACCTGCTTCGATGTACTGGTCAATACATGCCAGGGTGCAGTCGATTTTTCCGTGGGAAGACTGGCTTGCATAAGAACCAAGTCCAGCTCAGTTTTAGTTGGTGAAATTAATAGTATAGTAGCATGGAGGCTACTGGTGGAAATAAGTTGATTTCTACAGTCAGAAAGTCATCAAGATAGTAAATAACTGTAGGGCATTTATAGATGTTAAGCAGCATGCAACACAATGTCTCAGCGAACATATCAAAGATCCTTGGACTGCTTTTTGAACCGAACGTGAGAAGTTTGAAGAAATAGTATGATCCACACCACTTAACACCATGTAGATGCCACATGAAAGGGTGAATAGGGAGGAGTTTGAAAGCGTTGACTATGTCTGTCTTGCTAAGCCAGGCTCCCACTCCTGCTGACAGGATGGCCTCTATAGCGTTGTCGA